TGTCTTTCAACTCTTTTTTATTTACATAATTACAAAAATTAACACTCTTTTTATTTAATTAATTACAAAAATTAACTGTGATCGCCCTCGAAATAGTTCCCATTGGAGTCGACGCACAGCTCCATTCGATGCTGTTACTGTTGGAAGCAGCGTTGTAGATCAATTTCTGTGAGGCTGTTCAGAACCTCCGTCGTATTTGCCTTCACAGCTTCCACCGTCTCAAAATGGGTTCCTTTGAGCACGGATTTGATCTTGGGGAAAAAAGAGACGTCTCAGGGAGCCAAGTACAGTTGTGTTGTTACTGGTTAAAAACTGCTTCACAGACAACGCTGTGTGGGCTGGCGCGTTATCCTGGTGTAAAATCCAAGCGTTTTCCCGCAACTCTGGCTTTTTTTCTCACTCATTCGCCCTGTTTTGTCAAGATTTCGATGTAATATTACTGATTCACCGTCTGGCCGCTGGTAACCCACTCTGCCATCGCAACATCCTCGATATCAAAGAAAGCAGTTAACAAGGCTTTCAACTTCCAACAGGTCATGCGGTTTTCTTTTCTCTTGGAGATGATTGTGACTTCCAGTGCATCGACTGTCACTTAATTTCCGAATCATATTGAAATATCTAAGTTTCATCACAGGTAATTACCGATTTCAACAAGTCCGGAGGTCGGAACAAATTTCCTTTGCAACTTCTGTTTGTTCAGCTGACAACATTTTAGGAACCAATTTTGCGAAAACCTTTTTCATGTTCAGTTCTTCGATTAAAATGTGTCGTATGTCCCTCCTCGTGTAATTTTCTCAGTTCTGCCATCAGAGCAGCTCTAGGGTCATCGCCTAACTGATCCAACTCTGCCACTTGTGATCTCCTTAGTCTACTACGGGGGCTGTAACTATGAATTTCAAATCTAATTAACAGCATTTCTGGAACAAATTGCTGTTTAAACGTCACTGGCTGAATTTATGGCTACTTAAGCGAGTGTGTGTTGTTGGTGATGTACTGCAGTTGGCTGTCAGCTGATAGCACTTAACATAACCTCGACTTCATATCGTAAATAGCAGCCTGGCTAGCTGGTTTTGCTCATTAGCAGCGTTCAGGCTGTGATGTTAATCTTGCAACAAAGCGTGTGTGTCGTTAATTATAAAAAATCCCCTCGGTGTTTGATAGGGCAGGCTTTAGTCTGGAAAGATATTGAGCCACGTTAAAGCTTCCAGTGGGGTTTATATTAAAGGGGCCTGCATAAGCCTGTTTTTGGCCTTGCCAAACACAGTATTTTATTTCTGGGACGCATTTTTTAAAAAATCCATGATAAGGAAGGCGCTGTCCTGTATCCGTCCGCACGTTTCATGTCCGAAAAAGGAAGGATTTCTGTTGCATTTAAATTTTGTGTAGGGTACGCTCACAGTAAAAGCTGTGACACAAAATTTGGATCGAACTTTGTGGATTTCGTAAGAACATGTCAGACGTACAAAAATATTGCTTTGTGGCAACGTGCGTACGTTTTTATTACATTTTCCGATGTCGGTGAGTATTTAATGAAATCCAAGGAAACTCTTCCGACTGTGTGGAGCTCCATAAAGTCACAGATTTGTGGCGGCAGATTCCTATATTTTTTCCTTGTTCCGCCATCGTTTACGGGCTGATGGATGAAAAGTGTGTGATCGCTCATGTCATCCCACAGTTTCTCCTGTTCTGTTTCTTGTCAGCTGTTCCCGCTTATCCGAATGTCTTCAAGTTCCCTCCTGTTTAGGGTCGTCTTCCTTTCAATTTCGTTTGCAATGTTCTCTGTATCTCTGTCCTATCATTACACGGCCAAATCATATCGTCGTTTCTGTTGTTAGTAAATTTTGGGTTCCAGGTTATTCTTTATAAATTCCGAGGCTTATTTTTATTAGGCTTTTTAGCATTGTGGTTTTTCCGACGGGTGAGGAGCTGGCCCACCGCGTCAACCCCCAACCTGGAGGACCAGGTGATTTTTTTTTCAGGGTGTTCTTCCCCTAGCCATATCACTACAAGGCAGCAGCGTCTGGTTTTGGTCCGCCCCGGGGATTTTATTTTCCCGGTACCCTCCATTTCTGGTGAGCATTCCCCAATCCGCCACGTGGGGAGGCGCCCGATGGGAGACCAGCAGGATACAAAACGTGGCTCTATATGGAGCAGAAATTTGGCAACTTTCGGAACAACAAAAAAAGAAGTTGAAAATAATGGAAATAGAGTTCCTAAGAAGAGCGGCTGGAATATCCAGAAGAGAGAGAGTGAGGAATAAAAGGATTAGAGAAATCATGAGGGTGGACCGAGACCAAGATGGAACGACGGAATTACAAGAACCATGACAGAGTGGAAACTACATCCGGAAGGATGGGAAAATAAAGAAGAATGGAAGAAATTATTGGGCACCGGAAGACCGAAGTAACGGTCAAGAAACGGAAGAAGAAGAAGAAGATTATTCTTTAAGATCTTCCGTTTTGAATCAACTGCTTGCTGTCCTTTTCGCGTCATTGGACACGACTCTGCGGCGATTTAACCCACGTCGCAGCTTCAGGCCCATTTTATTCCAGCTTGCTATTGTGCTTCAGGTCAGCCTGAACTAGTCGTGACATTGTCCGGTTTCTTTGGGATTCGTTCTATTTTCCTGCGTGCCTAGACGCGTACCTGCCGAAGGTCTTCAGAGCAGCTGGAGTGGTCTTCTGATCTGCAGTCATCGATCTCCGGTTATCTTGGCCGTTATCTCCGGCAGTGGGATGCTGCAAGGACAGCAAGAGTGGTTCTACTGTAATAGGGTCATTAATCGCGGGAAGGAGCGCCTGACGGGCGCAGTTTCCATCTTGTGAAGATTTCCGCCTTCTGGGTTGTTGCGCTGTGTAGTCTGGTTGATGTTTACCGACGTTTCGGAGGTCATACTGCCTCCGTCATCAGGGCGATGATATTCATTACCTCTGAAACGTTAGTTAACATCGACCAGACTACACAGCGCAACAACCCAGAAGACGGAAATCTTCATCGCCCTGATGACGGAGGCAGTATGACCTCCGAAACGTCGGTAAACATCAACCAGACTAGCCAGCGCAACAACCCAGAAGGCGGAAATCTTCACAAGATGGAAACTGCCCCCGTCAGGCGCTCCCTCCCGCGATTAATGACCCTATTACAGTAGAACCACTCTTGCTGTCCTTGCAGCATCCCACTGCCGGAGATAACGGCCAAGATAACCGGAGATCGATGACTGCAGATCAGAAGACCACTCCAGCTGCTCTGAAGACCTTCGGCAGGTACGCGTCTAAGCACGCAGGAAAATAGAACGAATCCCAAAGAAACCGGACAATGTCACGACTAGTTCAGGCTGACCTGAAGCACAATAGCAAGCTGGAATAAAATGGGCCTGAAGCTGCGACGTGGTTATGTTGCCTTGCATATGCCATCAACGCATGCGCACGTAGACATCAGTTATTCGTACAGTCCACGACTGTAATCTTGAGACTTGCGTGGTCGGGAAGTGAGGTGAAGGAGAAAGGAGGAAGGAGGAAAGATGGCGTGTGCCTTTAACGCTACGGACTTCCTGCATTCCTTGCAAGTCTCAAGATTACAGTCGTGGACTATACACGCAAGATCGAATAAAATGATTGTTAGCTTTAATCAGCGGTGTTTGCGAAATGAGAGAGATTAGAGCAGGTGACTCCATAGACGAATTTTGACGGCTGCCAGGCAGTCGCAATTGAATGTGGTATTCACAAACTGTCCATACCGAGTATTGACGTGCACGAAAGTTGCTTGACCGTTGTGATCTAATTGCGTTTGGTCTGTATTAGGAACCAGCTGTTAACACACGAAAGGAACACGATTATCCACGTGCATGTCGACCGTCAAACGATAAAAGGGCGCTTTGTCAGGAATAACGAAACAAATGAAGGAAAGTTATTCAAACGTCAACTGCAATTTTGACTTATTTTAATAAGAAAGTGTTTTATGCAGATGAACTAGTTAAAGGTAGTTTTGGTCGTGCAGTTTGACTTTACGAGGACGGGGCACAGTTGGTAGACGTGTGGCATTTGCAATGCTGGTCAGTGGATCCTTGCTTTTGAACGGCTGAAGGTGTTTTATGCTTTGTGCATCTGGCATCTGGTGTATTCGACAATGCCCGCTCCCGGGAAATGACTTGAAGGGGGTGAAGAGTGAGAGAGAGAGGAGAGACATACAGCGCCTCTGTATTGTCCGCATTTTCACTTGTGTGACAGCAGAGAAGAAAACAGGACTCACCACTTGTGTTGAAAGCGCAAAGCGTTTCACTCCCCCCTCCGCTGTCACTTGAGGTTTGCATAACTGAAGCTCCGAAGTGTCACCGAGGCCTCATTTGTCTTGGCGTTAAGACCTTTTCGCTATTTATCTCCGCTTGTGGCCTCATAATCTCTTCTGTGAGTACATCCTGCAAGATAAACTTTGAGGTTAAAGATTTCTGCTTTAATTAAGGACAAAGGCAGAAACTCGTCCTGGCCGCTTTACCCTTCTCGGGGACGAGCCTCCGATATTCACAGGGTGGACCCCATTGCCCCCTGCTGGAAATCGAACCCCGGTCGTCCGGTCTGCAGACGCAGTTCTCACGCAGCTGCCAGTTGTGCCGTGACAGTACTTCCTTTCGAGTGGGGATTTGTACAGCACAGCTGTGACGTGGGAAAAGCCACAGTCACCCTCAAAGATATGACAGCAACGTTTAAGTTTTGGGACCGTGCGCTGGGATTGGATCGAACTGAGTCATTTGTGTGCAGGCGCAGGGAACTTGAAGAAGTCCGCTGGAAGTATGAAGAGTTGCTGGCTGCTGTAACTACAGTAGTTTTTGTGCGGTTGAGGTAATTTTACTCAGGTTAGCACCATGTTCTCGGGATGAGATACATTTCCGATGTAAGCGTATATTTTGCGTTCAATGCAGAATGTAGACTCCGTTTTTGCAGGTTGACTGTCTACTTTAACCTCGTGGTTTCGGTTTGCTTATCCTTGCACCTTAATTGTTGCAGGCCTACAGGCAGAGCTCTTCTACGTCAGGGAGGGGGTCATCAACGAGTACGCTCTCAACTTCGTCGTTCCTGTTCCGGCGCATATCAGTGACCTTCACTTCACGTGGCAGAGCCTCGCCGGGCGACCGGTAAGTACCTCACCACGCCTTCGTGGCCAACGGAAAGACGCACATTTCGAGTCGGGATATGCGAGGAACTCGAATGCAGCGAGCGTCCTCGCCCCTCCCGAAGGTTTTGATCATTGAGGAGCCGCGCACTCCCTCCTCACACAAGTTAGACGCAACCACATTTTGACCTGAAAGGCAACACAGTGGCGTAGATAATACAGGGTTATTCATAATTCCCTGACACATCACAAAAAATCCCGTCTTCAATGGTACAATGGATGGTAACATAGGACATGCCGATAGAAAGAGAAACTTTCTCTCTCCCTCTTGCTCCTGTCAGCCTTTGGCACATTTATCTGTAAACGATAAGAATACTTGAAATATGTACTCCGTGGGGTACAGAAAAGTTGCAGAGGCGTCTTTTATGGTATTTTTGGTGTGTATGATGTCACATAATTCTTATAGCTTCTGATAGATGGCGGCATTGACAGTTCTTATTGCCACTTACAGATGGCAGCACGATCAGTTCATATAAATGATAAATGGGTGCTCGATTGGTAATGACATCCGACGCCAGAAGTCTGAGCATCTGCTTGTATGTTTGCGTGCTTATGATCGCGCGTGTGTGCTGATTGGTTGGTGTCTGCCTGCAATGTGATCACAGCCCGAGAGACTCTGAGAGGCGCTGTTAAGATCGACGGTCTGGTCTGGGCCTGCAGCTCCTATTTCTTCTGGTTGTTTACTTCCTCCGCCCCCTGCCTCTGTCCATCCACACATCTGGCCTCTTCAAAAGTTTCCAGGGCACTAGACAGGTCATTCCTATCTGACGTCAGTCAGCACTCGAAACGGCTCACAACACACTTCCATGGCGTCAGAAGCTAGCGTGTGAAACAATCTTTGATTATAGTTTGAGAAAACGCAGACGTATCACGAAATTGAGGTAATTTGTAATTGATAAATTCGGCTAGCTTTTGTGTGCAAAAGGAAACGTTTAGAAGAAAGCAGAGTCGTGAATTCTTGGACTGTAGAATATCAGACGTGAGGAGCAGTCAAGTTACAGGGTCACTGGGTCGAACAGCAGCTATCAACACAGCTACAAAAAGAGCCCGTCCTGTGTTTGTGACTGGAAGCACGGCAGAACTACACCACAAATTCAACCAGTTCTTGTCTTGCACAATCCCGTTCGAAGTAAACATGTCAATTCTTCCGCTACTTAACAAAGTGTCGGATCGTATATAAATCACCGCGTTTCTGTCGTGGTTTTTATTCTCAGACACCGAAGCCCACTTCGTCTCGTCAGCTGGTCATAAGCCGTGTCCATGACAGCTCCCACTTCTCGCGGGCAGCGATTTCAGATTCCATTATCTTTTTTTTAAGTAGTTCAGTTGCGTGCGTCTGCTTACGCCATATTTGAATTCTGAAACACTTGGCGTGGCACGTAATGGAACAACTGGTTGTTCCAATATTCTCGTAATTAAATAAGAACTGTTGATGTGCGTGATAACAAATGTAGGCCCACGTTTCTAATTATGTTGAACCACGAACAGGTCCCCGTATAAGCTGTTTTATGAAAAAGTACAAATTTATTCGAAGAAGCTGGTGTGAACTGTAATCACAAGCACGTAAACCAGCGCGTAACCAGAAATCCCCGTCACATATATTAGTAATTTCACTCATTTTGAGTGCCTCCACGTTACAATGTCGTTTACAGAAGAGAAGGATCTTACGAAATTTTCTAGTCGAACCACATTTCATAAGCGATTGACACTCAAAAACACGCGGTTCAACTCGAGCTTTTTCGACACGCAATAACCAGGAATAAACTCGATGTTATTTGACTTCCGTAGTTCCTGCCGGGAGCCGGGAAGAAGCATTTGCCTTGCAACTGTCAGCGCAGCGAAACAGTTTGCATGTTAACGCATTGCAGTTTCCGTTGTTAAGGAAAGATCAGTAATAAATTTAATTTTATGTACTGCCTTATTACGCTTTTCTACAAAATATGTTTCTGATTACTTTCAGTATTACTTCAGATTTTACGTCATTCTTGACTAGACATTTTAATGATAATGAACAATAAATAAACGGACGTTGAGATGTTGACTAAAATGTGTCAGTAGTTATCCAAGTGATGTTTTACCAAAAATCTGTTCAGACGCAGAATACGCACATTGTGATTCATTTGTTATGTAGTCCTTAAAATAAATCAAAACCTCAAATCATACGTTTATGAGGTAAGTTAATGTAAGTGCTATAAGCCCACAGAAAGTTCTGTAAAAATATTAAGATACACGTAATGTTGCTTTAGGTCCCAAAGTAAATTGGACCTTAAAGTGATCCAGACTAACCCAAAACTAACATTTTATCGTAAAATTTATGGCCGCAGTACGTAACTCATCCTGCAGTCTGAAAGGAACAGAACGTTGCAGTAACTGAATCCATCCTCAGGTGAAAAGTTTGGGAGTTCCCAATCAGCTGGGTCCCGTAGGAAGAGCTGACTGACCTGTCACTAGACCAGACGCTTTTGTTGAAACACCGCGTTCCCAACAGAATACTGGACTTGTGCTTTGCAGCTGCCGTACCTCATCGCCGTGGATGTTCCCACCAACGACGCACTCGGCGCGCCACGCCTCAATGTGTCCACGGAGGGCAGCGTTCCGACCACCACCCAGACGTTCCGTGTCGCCCTTCCGTGCAGCGGACTGAAGGACGCCGAAGTGAACGTGTCCCTGAGCGTGAACATCACGTTGCACCGCGCGACGAACAACGTCACGGCGCTGCTGTTCAGGCGTCGCAAGATCTGCCTCAAAGGTCAGTGGTGCAAGAACTTCCTATAGGTCAAACTATATGCAGTGAAGCACTGACAGTGTGGTAATTAAATAAGTTCGTCTCTGAAGATTTCTGTCTTCTGGGTTGTTGCGCTCTGTAGTCTGGTAGATGTTTACCAACGTTTCAGAGGCCATACTGCCTCCGTCATCAGGGCGATGAGTATGAAGATTTCTATCTTCTGGGTTGTTGCGCTGTGTAGTCGGTCGATGTTTACCAACGTTTCAGAGGCCATACTGCCTCCGTCATCAGGGCGATGAGTATGAAGATTTCTATCTTCTGGGTTGTTGCGCTGTGTAGTCGGTCGATGTTTACCAACGTTTCAGAGGCCATACTGCCTCCGTCATCAGGGCGATGAGTATGAAGATTTCTATCTTCTGGGTTGTTGCGCTGTGTAGTCGGTCGATGTTTACCAACGTTTCAGAGGCCATACTGCCTCCGTCATCAGGGCGATGAGTATGAAGATTTCTATCTTCTGGGTTGTTGCGCTGTGTAGTCGGTCGATGTTTACCAACGTTTCAGAGGCCATACTGCCTCCGTCATCAGGGCGATGAGTATGAAGATTTCTATCTTCTGGGTTGTTGCGCTGTGTAGTCGGTCGATGTTTACCAACGTTTCAGAGGCCATACTGCCTCCGTCATCAGGGCGATGAGTATGAAGATTTCTATCTTCTGGGTTGTTGCGCTGTGTAGTCGGTCGATGTTTACCAACGTTTCAGAGGCCATACTGCCTCCGTCATCAGGGCGATGAGTATGAAGATTTCTATCTTCTGGGTTGTTGCGCTGTGTAGTCGGTCGATGTTTACCAACGTTTCAGAGGCCATACTGCCTCCGTCATCAGGGCGATGAGTATGAAGATTTCTATCTTCTGGGTTGTTGCGCTGTGTAGTCGGTCGATGTTTACCAACGTTTCAGAGGCCATACTGCCTCCGTCATCAGGGCGATGAGTATGAAGATTTCTATCTTCTGGGTTGTTGCGCTGTGTAGTCGGTCGATGTTTACCAACGTTTCAGAGGCCATACTGCCTCCGTCATCAGGGCGATGAGTATGAAGATTTCTATCTTCTGGGTTGTTGCGCTGTGTAGTCGGTCGATGTTTACCAACGTTTCAGAGGCCATACTGCCTCCGTCATCAGGGCGATGAATGTGCCAACAACCCAGAAGACAGAATTCTTCATACTCGCCGCTGTAAAAACCTCATACATGTTCGTCTTTCTTCGAAATGTTTTTGCGAGTCAGCTTTTCTGAACTTCGTGACTCACCACCGCTCTTAACATTCTTCTTCGTCTTCAGCTGTTTTATCAGACTCACCGGAATCAAAACTGCTTCCATCAAATTACTTTGTTTCCGGTGTAAAATTCCCAGAAGAAATAAGTAAAGTATTTGAACGTCGGGGAAATACAGTATCAAGTTAATTTGGAGCGAAAAACATTACGTTGGTTACGTTATATTGTGTAGGCGTGAACGTTAGAATGGAGCTTAAAAATACAATTGGAGGACATGTTTATTTTTATTTACGAGCAGTGCATCGTTACTGCAGCGAAATTCGACAAATGTTTTTTTATCAATCTTTCTTGCACGGAATGTTATCACAGGACTTATTATTCTATACGCGTAATTGAATATTAGGATGAAACTGTTATCCCTCCCTAAAGCCAAGAGCACATGTCTTCTACAGCTGTAACTTTAGTTCGCTGTCCATGCCTTCTGCATTGCTGTATAGCAGTTGGGTCCGTTCAGTTGCACCATAAGTTTGTTTGATTCTGTTGTCGTTTATCTTTCTCTGTTCGCAAATTATTTTTTACCTTAAAAAGCTGCCTATAAAATTAACCAAAGAATAATCTTTAATGCCATCAAAACAGCAATAGTGGGTTTCTGGACTGCCAAATTCTTGGATTTTGTCCATCGTCTGGTATTCAAAATAACGAAACCTTTCGGAAACTGAATCTGTTTCCGTCCTCTGTTAGAGGTCCTGGTGTAGTTTCTGGGCATTTTCTGAATAAAAATTAAAATTACAAGAAAACACTTAAACTAGTCATCTTTCCCGATGATCGGGGTGTGATGCCACTGGAGTCACATGACTTAATATGGCGTCACTAGAGCTGGGATCACTGACAATGCTTTCTTTGATACATGAGTTACGTGTTAAGTATACCAGTTTTCGAAGTTATTTATGCATTGTAGTCAATACTATTACTTAAAAATACGTATTCAGTAGTTTTAGGGTTGTCATTTTAACATTTACCTTGCGTTTTTCGCTCTTAAACTCGATAAACCGATCGCACAACTGCACCAACGGTTTACCTCTCTTCGAACTGACGCCAGGGACTGGCACATCGCCTCTTGTCACCATCTGATAGCATGCTGCCAAACTAGAGGGCAACTTCCGCCGATTAACCTCTTACCCCGATCGTTTCCGAAACGTTGTGTTCTTTTGAGGACCAGAGGAAATCGAAATTTGTTGCTGTGGAGGAATGGACGAAAGTCTGTACGCATTCTCAAGCACTAATACTGTAGTACACGGAGGTGAGTCGTGACTCCCCGGTCACTTTACCCCTGGGGAAAGGACCCCGACTCTCCACTGTGTAGGACGCTCAAAGCCAGTTTAGAAGGAATTTGAGTTCGTCTTGTTACGTGATTTGGCAAATGACGTGGGAATTTCTTTTTTCCCGGTATAGCGACTGGGGAAAAGCTCTGTGTTCCCACCCCATTTTGTTCTCGATAAAATGTGTGACAGGACAAATCAAATAAATAAAGTTCCCCCTGTGTTTTGCTGGACCAGATGCCAGGACGAACAGATGGACCAACACGTCAAGCCCCAGCGACGTGAATTTGTTGAAATATAAACACTGTCTTCTTCTGTTGCCGGAAGTATGCATTTAAGGTTCTGTTTACTGTCAGCAAACTTATGACTATTTACAGCAGTTAGGAGTTCATTCAAGTCATAACATGGTGAACTACTAAAAACTCCAGGCTTCAGATGGAAAGTAGTCAACGTTTAATTACTGAGACTCCGCGTGTTTCCAGGTCTAGCCGTTTACGCGCATCGAATAACTTCTGCCTCCCTTTGTGCTGGAAAGTCGCTCGGGGAAATTATATTTCGTGGTTGTGATCAAGTGATCGTCTCTCAAGTATTTCAGTCCCATGGCGATGGTCTCAGGAACCTGTGGTTACTCTCATGAGTGGTTCATCTCTTCATTTCTTGAAGCAAATTGCGCCTGGTTACCATCTTATTTTATAAAATCACGTTCCATTACCAAATGTTAGTGATTGTCTCCCATACATAATTTTATGAAATGTTTACAAATTGTTAAGGGCTTTAGAGGCGCAACGAACAGACATGCATTCGCTGTTTCCAGAAAGTTCTCTCCTTGTGTTACCAACAGTTTTCCAGATGATTAGACCTTCCCCTAGAAATGATACCAGCTATGAAATACCTCCGGTAGGCACCCACCTAACTGTATAAACGGCCGGAGCGGGAGGCTGTCCACTCATCTTCCTCTAATTCCTACGTTAGGAACGCTCGGATTTGTATCTTCTTACGTCTTCATTTCGGGATACGTACAGCACGTGAGTTGTTAACGAATGAGTGTGGCTGCCGGATTTTAAATGTTTGGAGCCGAAGCTGGTCGAAATAATATTCATAAATTTAGTCCGTACCGCAAAGAGAATACTGCATCGTTGAAAAGATAAGTTGGTTGATGCTGTTTATTCTGAAAATCAAAGGAAAGCCACAAATTCGTGCAGTGGGCAAAGTTCAGGGTTACTTGTTTTTAACGCAGGTTTTGCGTGTCTACTTTTACCTTTGGACTTGGAGGCTTTGAAGTAGGGACTGGCGTGTGTCTGGTCCTTGCCTGCTCCATCATCAGGTTGATGACTCACACAGGAAGCAAGGACCTCTGAAACGTTGGTAAACTATTTCCATATTACGTGGCGCTACAACCCAGAAGACAGCCAAATTTAATAAAAGGTTGGCGGAGGAATATGCCATCCCAACACATCTTTACCTTAACCAAGATCAGCTCTTATCGATTTTCTTGAAAACGCACGTCGTAAAGAAATTGTTGCATGGCTTAAAATCAGTACGTAGACTACAAGTCTTCGTCGATGTGATGCTCAGGTAAACGAAGTGTTTCGTCTGTAGTGCTGCCAGCTTCACAGTCATCCTTGTGCCTGTAGAACAGCAAAGAGCGCATTTCGAAGATGTGTTGTTTACACCTTTGACATCGTATTGTGAAATGAACATAACAAAGTACACGTGACTTGAAAGGCCGAGGGTTTGTGTTACCTGTTTTATTTCGAACACAGAAGCCAGACGGAAGCTGACGAAGTGTTCCAGGAACACAAATCTCGCATCACCCCCTTCCCCCACCCCTAGTCGGCCCATGGTTTGTTTTCCAACCCTGTCCCTCTGATGCACTGACTGACAGCAGCGCCGTGGTGTGTTAACTATGAAGTTAATGGACTGGGCAAACAAGAGACTGCATGTTAGCGCCGAAGCTGATGAAGTGAAATGGGGAATGCCAGGCGTACGAGATAGAAGACAAAACAAAGAAAATAATAGAAATAAATGGAGAGCTATTAAATAGAGAGAGATGGAGGCTTCTTAAGTGACTCTAGAAATAAATGGATGCGGACAAGCTAGTTAGCTGAAGTCAACAGAATTAACGGAGCGTATACAGGGGAAGGAGACGAATCAAAGGAATATGCTTCGTCCCTTGTAAACATTTCTTTCTGTTTCTTGCGTTATGACATCCTGTCTACTGTTTGCTTTTACTCCATTGGCGTAGTGTTTATACTTCCCGAAAATTGATTTAGATATTTAAGAATAAACACCGGACAGATTTGCTGATAAGTGCGGAGCGTAAGAATTCCGGTGCGTTCGTCCTGTTACTGCGGGATGGACGTGCAGTCGTGCCTCAGAGGCAACATAAGGCTACCAGCGCCACCATCGATTGGTAAAATAAAACATTACATCCAGAAAATTATGTTATGTGAAGTGGTTGTTGAAATTGTCCGATGTACATGAAAATGGCTGGACAGTCGCAAAACTTCTCAATTTCTAATGGTAATGAAACCCATTCAACCGTTCTCCAGTTGATATATGCATACTTACAGACGGACGGACGGAGCAGTTTCAACAGGCAACCCGCATGAATACGAAGCGACTTTTTCAATATTCGCCCTACTAGATTACCGGGTTGGCCCTTTTATTTTTGTGACTACGTTTGGGTTTGAACCCTGGTCTTTTTGAAAACTTCACGTAGGATCTGAAGCATGGTAAGGACGGCAATTTCGTAACGTTTGGGAAGGGGTGGAGAGTACGCGATGAAATCGGCTTGAACCTGACACCTCCTTCACAGAAAGCCACAACTTTGCTTCTGGACAGCCATCTTAAAATTGTAGATCCTGCCCTTTATTTCCATTCAAAAGACAACGAGTCGCCTGCTCATTTGGGTAACATGAAATATTCTGGCGTCACCGGACTAAAGTGTACGCTTATTTTGTGTATGTATATAATAAAACATGCAACAAACCTGTACGTATGCAACAAGTTGTACTTGCCAGCAGCACCCAGCACTATACGTGGTGATAACACATGCGTGAGCCTGCCTGATTTATTCGGAGAGGAGGAGTATGGCTTCAAATAGTTCATGTGGCCACTGAAAGATGGCAGCACGATTTCTTCGGCTTTTAAGGTTTCAAGGTGGTCATATTTCACTCTGAATTGTAAAAACACCGAAACAAAAGCCCTTCGCTGCCAGAACGTATTAGTAATAGTCAAAATACAACAAAAACGTTTACAGCACGTATCCGAAACTTGATTAATGTTATTGTTGGTTTTATGTATTGTCAGTAAGGCCAAACGTAGTCATTTGGTTTTGTGTTACATAATCTTCAGAATTGCGTTTTATATCTCCCTTCGTCGATGTTTTTTTATTATCGATGAATTACACTATGCACTGATACATTTGAACTTAATTGTCAGTTCCCGGCTCCAGGCTGGAACTGCATGTTTCACCGCCAAGAGCTACAAGGTTTTCCCGACACATATATCGCACCATACAAACAATAACATCATTTTTTCCTTTTTTATGAAGTTCCTGCCGGGAGCCGGGAAGTGACATTTGCGTTCAACTTTATCAGCGAATGCACTGTACTGTGTTAATTCAATCTTACGTCATTATTGAATACTGCGTTGTTTATCAAAACAATTATAAATAATTATAACTATTAAAATGACACATATAGTGATACTACCTACTGTTGTAGAATACTGACGGTACTGAATAAACAGTCTCTTATTTCCATATGTTAAAACCACATTTATAGAATAACTGTGCCTTACTTATAATCTTAAAGTTTCTGTGAATGGCGTTACAGATTCAAGTTATTAGTTGTAAATTATTACGATACTGCGTACTATTAAGTTTTGTGCTAACCTGATGTATTGATTTATTCCAGTCTGTTAATAAGAACTGGCCCTTGCTGCCTGGCTGAGTGGGGTGTGTGTTCTGCACACGTGATTGCAGCTATAAATAGCTGACGAAATGTTCAGTCTCAGTGTTATAACACATGGCAGTGACGCTGTGAGATCGGTTGGAGATCGAAAATAATCTGTTAATACAGGAATCGTCTTCATAAATCATTTCCGTTTCAGAGGAAGTCATTGTTAAGCTAACTCTACGTGTCAGTAAACAGTGTAATCGCCAGCTCCGAGGTCGAACTCGTGGTTTGACCACCCACCGAGGCAGACGCTGGGATTTTATTGTCGGCCCAGAATTCTTTAACGAAGTACGTGTGTCAAAGAATCTGTTTGCGAGGGTCGCAGGCAGACCTCGGATTTTGACCGCTGGAAGGCAGCACTGGTTAGTTCTTTGTCACTCAGCTGGACATCCTAAAACATGCAGACTCTCGAGATGTTAAGAACTTCTTGGATCTCAATACTTTGACATTCCGTTTCAGTATTTCACCCCGACGAGGTCGAATTAATGCAAAAAAATTGGCGTATAGGATGTGGAGTCACAGCGTGACACCACCCGCTTAATTAATAACAAGTCCTCAGTTTTGCTTGTTATGTAGTGTCTTTCGTTTCTCCTTCCCAGGAACAAACTTGAATCAATAGGAAAAGAAAGACAGAACCTGTTCCTGCAAGTTCACAGTTCATTAGTTCCATAACGCAATCCACTCTTCGTGTTTGTATTTTCTTGCTGTAGACTAAGGTTATGCAGGTGTTACACCGGAACATACATCGTGATGTTTATGAATGTTGGATGAGACGGAAGAATGTGGAAAACATCGCCGTTTGGCTGTAATTGGCGGACTGTTCTCTGCCCCCCCACAGATAACGGCTTCGGTGGAATGAGCCAGGTTGTGGTAGTGGATCCTCCACAAGTTGAAATAAGTTCCGGCAGTATATTCTACATAGCTGTGGGATGCGCATGCGCACTTATCACTGTCATCATCATCGTGGTCACAGCCTACTATGTTCGGAACAACAAAACAAGGAGACAAGGAGAAATGTTGCAGTAAGTACAATGTTATATTATGAATATCATGCGCAATTTTCACCACACAGAAACTCCCCCCCTCCCTTTTCCCCTTTAATACAGAGTAATCGAAAAGTCACGCAACCTAACCTAAAATATCTGATTACTTCTGTTCAACAAAATCAGACTGGATTAATGTGCACTATACACAAGGCCACGCAGGTCATGTTGTAACCTCTTGCTCCAGTCCCACACTTGCCTTCAAACACACGAAGTGCGAAGGTGTTTATTTCACTGATAAAAAAAAGTGTTTGTTGGCGAACGCTATCTCACCTCACATATATTTTTTTCTTTTAAGTGCACATTTGCGTCATAAGCCATATTCTGCCGTAAAATAAACTCCTAAAATCTTGCAGGTGAGTTGCTCGGCGTCAAAAACATCATCACGCTTTTTTGTAAATGTGGCTTGTTTCTTGAGGTGCCTCTTTCGAGTCCCGAAAGCTGAATTTAGAACAGTTCAGGGAGGAATTTTCCAACTTCTGTAGCCCGTATATAGTTACTTTATTTTAACCTTTTCAGATACAATGTTAATTTGAGACCTAGTATTTAACCATTTTGTAATTTAGCTATCACGTTAGGGCCGTTTTTCAAATTTGCGTCTTTCAAATAGTATACCAGCATTTCGTTTCCAAAATCGGTGTTTCCTGTTCTTCCCGCCCCTCCGATGTCGTTAGCCACCAGAGGGTGGGGCTTTGTGTTATGGCCGCAGTACCTTCCTCCAGTGGTTGCTACTCGGTGTGTAATTTGAATTTCGAATTCTTATTGTCGAAATTATGTCTGGGGAGCAACGTGGAGTTGAAACCGCACTTTTCAAAATCTGGCCCGAGAGTAGCGTTACCCACGCGAAGAAAACGTTCCTTTTGCAGACAAAACGTAAAATTGCCGATATCTCGTTGCTCATTGGGATTTGATCCACGTCTTTATTTAACTGCTAGTTTAAGCTGGAACAATAACTCCATACTGGGTGGCCAGAATCCCATTGCGAGGAGAAGATGGGGTGGGAAGACGCTAAACTTTGTACCAGGGGATGAGGCGTATTTCCATGGATCAACATCTGTTGCCAACCATGGCCGGTTGATGCAATTGATCCGCGGACTTGATCCGCTGGTCTTCCACACACCTATTCGAAGCATTCAGAACTCGGAAGGTGGAACTTGTTGACGTTCTCTTCTGCAGGGAGTCTCGAAACGGGTCTAGCAGCAGCGCGCACGGCCACGCCACCTTCCTGACGGCAGAAACGCCTCTCCCGAACAATAACTTCACCGGTACTTCGGCTTCCAGTTGCAAGTCTGGGGCGAGCTACGCCAGTTTCAAGAGACTGCCCAGCTACACCGTGTTGGACGATCGGGCGGGGAAAGACATCCACGAGCGCATCGCCGAGCTGACGATACAGAGGTGAGTCGTGTAAGCCACTGGCCGATATCGACGGGTGTACCAGTCGCCGAAGCAATTTCCGCGTCTGTTGTTATACCCGTTACAGAATGTGTTATTAAAAAGAACAAAGGTTATCTTCATCACAGATACTAAAACCATTAACTCCGAGGCTCTCGATGTCAGTAACGTTAGTCTGATTCGCAAGTTCAAATATGATACATCAGTTTTAAATGTAAAACAAATACATCGTTTCTGAAAATAATAACACGGCAGGAAAGTTTAATCCGTCTTTGAATAAGAGTACGTTCTTTGCTGATTCATATTTATAAATGCCTTTAGCACTGGGAAATAAATTTGTCGAAACGTCTACGGTTCTGAGTAGGCCCTGACCTACCTCATTTTAAACACCATCATCAGAGCCCACCTAACTTGAAACTTATATACGCAATGGTAACCAAATGGACTCAGACTCACACCCAAATGCCCGCAGTGGAACCAGAACTTACCTAACCTAACCTAACCCATCCTAACAAAACACAGCCTAACCTTCCTGAAGCTAATGTAATACAACCAAACTCTTCCTATTCTGATTTAAACCACCCTAACCTTATCCAATCTAATATACCCCATCCGCACCGGACCTGTATTGACCTGAGCCAACCTGCCCTGACCTAACTTAACCTAACCTCGCATCCTAACCAAACCAAGAGAGGTGCTTAGGTCCAACCTAGGGCCGCTTCTGCCTCACAGGGCTCAGCCGCACCCGACACGCTCCGGATAGAAGTCGATTTCGATGTTAATGGCTACGCCCCGCAAACGGCCCCATCCACTTTGACATCCCACATGCGGGACTATAACAACAGTAGATAAAATGCGCACATTTTCTCGTTCGCTTGGCAAACGTTGTTTCCTTTTTATGCATTGGCATTGATTCCACTGTATACACTGTCGCGACACGAGACAGCAAGTAGTTGTTATTGACAGTCAGTGCCGGCAGATGTTTCTAGATCTGAACAGTGCCTTGTTGATGGTGCTGTTCGGTTGGAGAGACTGACGAAAAGCGTGAAGACTTGAGGATAATTGGAACCACTGAAGTGCATCCATTCTACGTATGCCTCTATTTTATGCAAGCAAGTCTGTCTCCGAGGGAAACGTTTGTGTCATTTTCACGTTTAAGTTGGACTCGGCTTGCATACACGTAAGTTCTCATTGCTCTTTATTGCAAAAGGAAAGTCAAGCTCACATTGAAAGGTTCAGAATTCTGGATGTTTGGAATGATTTTGTGTCGCCCTCACAGGTGTCGCGTGCGCCTGCGCACTGTTGTGCTGGAGGGAACCTTCGGCCGTGTGTACCACGGTACCTACACCGAAGAGGAAGGCGTAGAAGAGGACGTTCTGGTCAAGACTGTCACAGGTGGGGAAACCGAAATTATTATTCACGCCTCAAAATGAGTGGTAACTTAATGTACCACTTGCATTTATACTGTGTTGGGTATGATCCTAGAATAAACAATATTTGTATGATTTGAGGTTTTCTGGGTTGTTGCGCTGTGTAGTCTGGTCGATGTTTACCAACGTTTCAGAGGTCATACTGCCTCCATCATCAGGGCGATGAATGTGCCAATTGGCACACTTAACTATATTTACAACTGGCCCAGTCCACAACAAACAATAATGGAATTGGCGTTATCCGACTTGGAAGTAACAATCATAAATCAATAAAATCTCAATACAAAACGAAATATTAAATATAAACACCAGTCCCAACATAATAACATAACCAAAACCACGAACTAGAATTCAGGTCTGAGACCACGCCGGGAGCTGAAAGGCAAATGCCTGGAGGCAAGTAGCTGCACCGCGAACCAAAGCTTATTTTTGGACGTTGGGTGGGGGTAGGAGATGGACTGGAAAGGGGAAATGTCCAAACATGGCGTTACAATACACAGAATACTGCGCTTTGTCATGAAGGTAAGTAAAGCCACATGAAACGCTCACCTTTTGTTTCGGACTGAGAATCGTAAGTCGATCTCTGTTGTTTGGTTCCTGTCTAGGAAACAATTTATTTACACCCTGCATAGGTGAAATGCATTTCAGATCACTGTATTGAACACTGCAAAACAATGGGCCATGTTATCTTCCTTTGGAAATATTTCAGTTTGGTCCGTGTACCAATTTCCATCAGAACTCGTTCACAGACAGGCCGAGAGGGCTCGCGGCAGGCATCTTAGCTGATAGAGTGTCGTATCATACTGGCAGATGGGTTTGTGTTCGCTCTTTCAAACGCAAGACACGTTACACTGTTATTTTAGTGGGTTTTATTTTCGCGTATTACCAGCTGCCTGCGGTGCGTCAGTTCAGTCTTAGCTTTTTATTGGTGTGAACCGGCAAATGTTAAGGATTTCGCACGAGTTGGTCGCTTGCTTCACTCCCACTTTGCACATTCTCCAGACCAGATCCTTCATAACGTTTTCCCTGTACCGTACGTCAAGAAAGCAAACAGGAAACTGAGGTGAAGCTCCACACATTCTTAACACCAGCGCTAGACGGAGGTGAATGGTGAGCTTCATGCTACCTCCGCTTTACTCCGAGAACATAGTCATGGTGGCTTCCGGAGTGGGTCTGGTTATCGAAGCCAATAGAAGCGCCCTGACCCCAACGGGAATCCAACCCCGGTCGTCCAGTTACGGCGCCTCAGCCTAAAGTGCGGTTGTGACTGTGTAAACATTTTGTGCCAACATGGCGACGGCGAAATGGTCAAGCAATCGGCTGTTCTTTATGGAATCAGAAGTTTACCCAGAGCCCGCCACTGGTCCATATCCTGAGCAAGATGATTTTAGTCCACTGCCCGATATCATTTCGTTAATATCCACTTATCCATTGTACGTTTTGGACGTTCAAGTGATCTGTTATGATCACAGTTTTATTTTTGTGTGCATTTTTCATCTCTCCACGAGTGCTACATGTTTACTTTCAGACCACGCAAGTCAGGTGCAGGTGTCTCTGCTGCTGCAGGAGGGCATGACAATGTACGGCCTGAGCCACAGCAACGTGCTGTCAGTGCTTGGAGTGTCCATCGAGGACCACACAGCCCCATTCCTTATCTATCCACATCGGGGAGATACAAACTTAAAGAGGTAAGTGTAGAGAGGATTTACAAAGCCATCAATCAGTTTCCCAGCAACTGATTTACTAGTAAATAAGTGTTCGTATGGATAGGTTTTTACTGAAAATAGTAACTCATTTTTAGCGTAACTCCGGAGTCTGTGTATGGCTACTCATTTATCACCAGTAACTTTTGAATCAATTTAAACTGGTGTAAATTTCATGTCGCCTCTCGCCATAACAGTACCCGCAACACAAGCATCGGTCTGTCTTGAATTAGGCCTGCAATGGGTTTCTGTACTCTAAAAGTTAAAAGTGAAATTTCCCAGCTGAGTGGTGTATATGTAACTATTGTCCGAGGCACGAGAGTAGACGTGGCCTTGTCAGCCGTTGCTTGTGTGGCAGGGGGAAAGTGGGTTCTGCGCAAGCGCTGGTGATGTGCTATCAGTCAGTACATTAGCTCACGACGTACGACCTGTATAAGCTGCGAGTGTTTTTCGGTCCGCTAGTAGCACAGAATTCTCCCCCCCCTCCCTCAAAGATGTCAGGTCTACTCTCGTGTCTCGCAGACAATAGCTGATGTGTGGAAGCATACTTATCATCATCTTGCTGCAGAGAAACTTCTTCTGAAGAAGAAATGGAAATTGAGGTTTATATGGGATTGAAATCTCTTTATGCGAAACAAATTAGAATTTTATTATATAAAGTCTGTAGAATAGGAGGCAGGAAATTTACATCACTGTGGCTGCAGGTTCCTGCAGACGTGCAAACTGAGTGCCGAAGGCATGACGCGGGTCCTGACGACACAAGAGGTGGTGGCAATGGCACTGCAGGTAGTTCATGCCATGCAATTCCTGCACAAGAAGAGACTGCTGCACCGTGACCTTGCGACGCGGAACTGCGTAGTTGACCAGCAGCTGAAGGTGCAGGTGGCAGACAATGCCCTGTCCCGTGACCTCTTTCCTGCAGACTATCACTGCCTGGGTGACAACGAAAATCGTCCAGTCAAGTGGCTTGCCATTGAAAGTCTGGTGCACGGAAACTTCTCCGCAGCATCCGATGTGGTAAGTGGGCCCATTGCTGTGAACAAACTTTTTTACACCTTGATTTTCCACCATAAAGAATTCCAAAATTAGCTGTACACGTGTTTGAGGTGAGAGTAACTTTAGCAGCACTTACTGTAGGGTCAAATATTTTGGTGTGTTTGTAGGTCTTTAAGAATTTGGCAACATTTGTTGAGGTCATATTTTTATAGAATTAAAAACTACAGCTTGGCATCCACACAAAAACTGTGTGAAGCTCAAGTTTGATGGCAACAGCTGTTGAACCTCCGGAGATTGACATGTAAAATGCCGACTGGAGATGGATGATATACTTACCTACACTTTTATATGAAGCTTTTTAATTTGTTAATAATTATAAACATAATGACTGTGAAACTTTGAAGTTACTGGCATATGTGAGATTTTAATGTATGTTACTTATAGTCAAAATATGTTAATACTAGAAATCAAAACATACAGAGTATTGTTCATTCATTTTCTTGTCCAGCAACGCCTAAATATTATTTTTCCAAAATTTCGCGTCGATAATTGCCTTGTTGTTAGCTAGCATCGAATCCGATTGCGTGCAGACTTTGCCCACCTTTGGACATAGAGTGTTGTTGAATAACTACAAAAAGAAAATGCTGGTGACATTCAGTATCAATGGTACCGACCCACACATTAATGCTCCAGCCAACTTGATTGCCCCATTCACATATCGCATGTGAATTTTGCTTCATGTAATCATAAGATATTCTCCAAAAATCTCAGATAACGTTCATGTTCCCATAAAAGCCACTCACGGTGAGACGATAATAATCATGAGGCATAGAACCTTGAACTTGCGAGTAGTGATATGGATACAGGTCTTCATCCTGGAATATTAAATGGTGATTGCGATGTTTGACACCGAAATCTCAGCCAATTTCTTATGCACTGTGACAGATTCTGTGTCACCATCTCGTTTGATTGCTGGTGTCCAGCAAGTGTGCAGTTGAGCCCTTCAAGTGGTGGTTTTGGTAGGACATTGCCAGTCTCCCTCCTCCTCTCATCCACCTGGTGAGACGCCAAAACACATTAGTGTCTGGATACCTTCTGCATAAGTCCTGACTGTGTCATAGGCCTTGTTTCCACAAGCACAAAGAATCAAATTACATATCACAGTATTCGTGCAACGCGAAGTTCATTTTGTCTACCCTTTCTTGTTGGTATCGTACTTCATTAGGGTAAATGCACAGTACAGCAGTTAGATTGCTTTTGTGTGCCGAGTGTTGATCACTGCCAACTGAGGTACTGCAGTGGTTATCTTCCTGTGCTGTATGTCATGTCATATGACCCTTGACCTTCCACAGCATGACTAATGCACTTCTGTAAATACTCATTTTTGTATTGTTTTGAGGTTTTCTGTTAAGCACTTTTTTCATACACCCTGTGTGTGTGCATTTGTATGTGGAGGCGGCTGTGGTGTTGTTAATTATTGTTTTATAAACACCAGCATTAAGTTAAAACCTATAAGAAGTGGCAACGTGTTCTCATCCCTTATTGTTCCGTCATCAGTGGGTATTGATGTGGCAGAGAACTAATTGTTTTGGTTGGTATAATGTGAAATACGTCTTTATGTTCGCAGTGGTCGTTTGGTGTACTGCTGTGGGAGCTCACAACACTTGCCCAACAGCCGTATGTGGAGGTGGACCCCTTTGAGATGGCTGCCTACCTGAGGGATGGTTACCGTCTTGCACAACCAGTTAACTGTCCAGATGAGCTGTAAGTTTTGCTCTTCTTGGCATTCTATATTATAGGCTTCATTCACTAACTGCTGTTAACTTTATATTTGTTAAATATTGCATGAAGCGTGTTGGCAACTTGTAAGGTGCAGTGCTGTTTATCTGTCTTTTTGCTGTATTTCTGAAACTGCTGAGTGTATCTTGATAAACTTTCTTCTGGGTTTACACTGAAAGTTGGAAGTTAAAATTTTGTTTGTTATCAGAGTTAGTTTGAGGGAGAGATGACCTGCATTGAAGGGATCAAATTTATGTTCAGAATTTAGCCGCATTTATGAATCTAAGTAACAGTACTTTGTATATGTTTATTTTACACTCCATAAGCATACTTCGACTTCCCCTGGTGGGATGACCGATAATCAAATTGATCACGTTCTAATCGATCGGGATAGACAATCAGATGTAGATGTGTGATCTTAGGGAGTGGAATGTGATACTGACCATTATTAAGTGACAGCAAAATTGAGGGCAAGACTTCCGGTCAGAAAACAGGTGGGACAGATATACAGAATTGAGAAATTCAATGTCAAAAGACTGAGCAATGTAGTAACTAAGCAAGATTATCAGTTAACAATCTTGAATCGTTACATTGTCATCTCCAATGTTCTGCAATCAATGCACAATCATCTATGGTGGAGCTGGAGGGGATTTTCTGCTGCCCATAATTTGAAAGAATGAACATTTAAATCTTCAAGCCTTAATGAAGTTGGAATTGTCATTGGGAAATTAAAATGTTATAAATCTCCACATATCGACTCGGTTCCAGCAGTACTAATTCATGCAGGTGGTAGGACGCTGCATTGAGAGATGCACAAGCTTATAGTCTCAATTTGGAATCAGGAAGTACTAACAAAACAGTGGAAAAATCATTTGTTCTCCCTGTCCACAAAACTGGTGACAAAACTCTCTTTTGTCAATGTCATACAAAATTTTATTGAATATTCTTCTGACGCGGTTAAGACCATTTATGAATGAGACTATCGAGGATGATCAGTGTGGATTCTGCCATAATAGGTCAACTATTGATCAGATATTTTGGATGTGACAAATATTATAGAAAAAGTGGGAATATAATGTGTCACTACACCAACTATTTGTGGACTTCAGGAAGGCATTTGACTTAGAAGACAGGTACAGTATGGCATTTTGATTGAGTTTGGAATACAAAAGAGATTTGTTAGGTTAATTAAGATGTGTATGGACGGGGTACCTAATAGAGTTTGTATAGGTAACATTCTGTCATATCTGTTCCCAGTGCTTAATGGCCTATAACAGGTGGATGCTTTGTCCCCAGTGCTTTTTAATTTTGCTCTAAAATATGTCATCAGGAAGGGCTCGAATTGAATGGTGTACACCAGGTAATTGACTGTGCTGATGATGTCAATTTGGTGTGGGATGGTGTGGGTACCAGAAACAAGAATGCAAACACTCTCCTACAGGCTAGCAAGGAAGGATGAAACAAATGGGGAATTTAGCATAGTGAGGATAGTGAAATCTAGGAGGCTTTGATGGGCTGGACATGTGACACATAGGGGGCTGAAAGGGGTACATAACAGAATTTTGGTATTGATTCCTTCTGGAAATGACCACTGGGCAGACGAAGAAGGGGGTGGGAGAATATCAAGATGGATCTTAGAAGGGGGTGGGCTGTGAGGATGGTAAATGGATGGAGTTAGCTCAGGACGGTGGCCGGTGGTGGGCTTTGGTGTTATCAGTGTTGGACCTACGGGCTCTGCCACCAGGGAGTTGGTTAATTAGTTCTTTTACATCCCTTATGTAACGTTAGAGTCAAATGGTTAGTCCTTTACCTTAAAGTTCAGGAGGCTCTGGATTGAAATCTTGGGCCAGAGACTAGCTGTCATGACTTAGGCTTTTGTGACTTTTGTCAGTCTGTCTATTCAAATGACTACACAGAATCTTAAACTATTCTATTCCTGCTTCCATCCACATCTTTTCAATTTATTATTCATTAATTATTCTGTTACTCAGTGTTATGGTATTTAAGCAGTTGAGTTATTAAATAAATGAAGAATAAATAAATAAATGAAATACACCTCCTTCTCTTGAAGGAAATACTACACTTGATTGTAGGTTTGTTGCAGAAATTTATTTTTCTTTATGCAAGGTTCGCTGTTATGGCATACTGCTGGGCCATGAGTGTGGATGAGCGGCCAACTTTCACGCAACTTCATGTCTGTTTACAAGAATTCTACACACAACTCACACGGTATGTGTGATAACATCTTCACGCAGGATTTCATCACTGTGCTACATAAAGGCCCGCAGGTGGTACATTTGATAAGCTACTTGAAGAACAGAATGTCAGGAATTGCAGTGGAACTTCCTTTACTGTTCAGCTGTCTTGGATGGATTAAATTCTGATGTTGGCATCTTTCTGTATTGGACAACAAAAATAAAATATTTCCCTCTAGAACAGCTATGTAAGTGATAAAAACTTTGTCACTCATTCTTAGTATATTTATTTCAGCATAATTATGATTAATGTTACATATTTAAAATTATTCATTGTCAGGACTTTTTCTGTTGTCTGTTCTTCAAAACCACGACATTTTGGAGGCTGGTCCAGTGACAGACACTAGCTCTATCTAAGGGACCTAACAGAGTAGGTACCTCTCACCTGAAGATGGAGACAGAACCAGCCTCTGAAACGTCATGATTTTAAAAGAACAAACGATGGAAAAAGTCCTGACAATGAATAATTCTAAATGTAAACTACCATCGTCAAAACCCTTTAGAATCGAATATTACACATATTTGGCTAACAAAATCAATAATGTAACATCGTTTATAGAACTGTATATGTGACACAAAAATTTACAAATTTTATGGAGAGTCAAAGAATGTACCAGATTAGGCAGAATTAACAATGAATATATGTGGAAGAAACAAAATTTTTATTCGGTAAAATGAGGAGATGATGCTCACAGAAAATAATAGTTAATCCATTTGAACAGAATTGTCAGTAAGAAACTCTAAAGAATTTTTCTTTGATACAAACCATAAAGGTATAGGGACATAGGAAGACTGTTCAGAAGATTTTCCTGAACTGACATAAGACGCATGATCCTAATCCATGTGAGATGATGTTCAGGATGCTGCAGCTCCTGTTCTCCATGTGAGCTTATTCATTGTCACTGTATTATATTGAAAATAAACCCATAAGTATGTTGTATAAAATTTATGTTATTTATGCTGTCCAAATTGTACACAGTACTGTAAAACCTGCTTATAATGGAACTCAACAGTCTGAACATTTTCTGTCTCAGACTGGCTTTCCGCTTTATGCAGGTTCTTATGTCTCGACAAGAAATGTTTCACCAACTGTAGTTCTTTATCTGTGAACATTAATGGGTTTTTGCCCTTATCAACATTTCTCATTAACTTCATTGATCATAAACTTCCAAATACAGAAGGCTTCAGTTGAACTATTAGAAAGCTGTTTATTGTCTGTAAAAGGGCGTGTTTTAAAGCTGTCTGTTTCTGCAAGTGTATAAGATTAACAGTACTGTCTGTTGTGATTTTTCAAGTCTCTGTCCACTTGTTCTGTTCTTGGCACTTTCAATCCTACATCCTGTCTTCTCTGCTCTGCAATCTGAAAAAGTTTTGGAAAAGCTGTGCTAGATGTTCAGGCTGCAGGGACAAAAATTGTTCATATCAGGGATTAGTAAAGTGAAGATAGCTAGAAAAAGTTGCTGCTTTGTCCTCTACAGATCACATATGAACTGTCTTGAGATCAAACCTCATCTTCTGTGGGGAGAAGCCTTAGCCTGGGTGTATATTTATAATTACAGACCATTCATGGTATGCCTTAGTTTTTCAATGTAAATTAAAATTATTTCAGATTGTATTCAGATATCTAATTTTATTTTTATTTTTGGAACAGAGGTATTGTTTCTTGGTGGCCATCACGTGGCATTCAAGTTGGGAAGATCAGTTATCCTGCTATTTTTAATTTAAAATTTATTTATTTATTTTGTTCCAATTATATCTGCAGTAAAATTTATGAGCCAGATTCTACAGTTTTTGGTTCACTTTACAGCTGAGAACCAGCTATGCTGATTGAGTTTTACTACATTCTCAGCTTCTGCAGATGACCTGGCGTAGCTCAGTCAGTATAGTGACTGGTTACAGACTGGGCGACCGGGTTTCAATCCCCAACAGGGGCAGAGGATTTTTCCTCTAGCCTCTGCATCCAGACTGGTTCTGGGGCCCACCCGGCCTCCTATCCAATTGGTGCCAGGGTCCTTTTCTGGGGGCAAAGCGCGGCCGGGGCATGATGCTGACCGTTCGCCCCATCTAGTGTTGAGGTCACAAATGAGTACAAGCTCTACATTCTCTCCCCACAAGTGCCTACATGGCATGTAGTGAGACAGCTTTACTTTACTGTCTCTCCGGACAAGTGCCTTAATATTACAGCACAGTACAGTCAACATTCATAATCATGCCACAAGTATCAATCAGTTGTACTTAATTTCTAAATGTAATTGTGTGTGAAATAAGAAAATTTTCACCATACTTCTCCAGTTTTAGTCAGATATCTTTACATTAACTTATACAGTGCAGTTGAACAGTAGACCATATGAAAGAATAATTTTCTAGATTTGTAACATTTGATTTCTGTACTATAAAAGTGATTTTCTATAATGTACATAATGATCTGGCTGTCATAATGAATTACGATATTTTCCTAAAAATGTTGTTCCTTTAGCAAAGCAGTGAAAAAATTAATGTGTAGCATGAAGATTAAACCTCTGATGATCAGAATCTTTGGGTAGAGTGTGCGCATAGCCATTTTGATTATTGATTTGGTTGTATCTTATTTAATGCTACATGCTGACTGCTGATTTTATGTGCAGTGGATGAGATATGAGGATTGTCGTGATTGACGAGTCAAAGATTTTAAAGAAGTGGTCATGGAATATTTCAGATAACTTTTTGGCATCAACAGGAGGAACTGAGTAAAACCACAAGAACCCTTATCTTTTTATATAGTTTTGTAGCATGTCAGTGGCACTACTGCAGATGCATTTTTTAAATTCTTATAAAGACAAGTGATATGAATTTGTGGGTGTGGTTCATGTCATTGCATGCAGAGCAAGCAGTTTTGTGTAGGAAAGGAGAGCTTTCAAGTAGATTGAAGTGGCAGTGATGAGAAGACTATGAAGATTTCTGTCTTCTGGGTTGTTGCGCTGTGTAGTCTGGTCGATGTTTACCAACGTTTCAGAGGTCATGAATCACCTTGAAGACAGAGGCAGTGTGACCTCTGATAAGTTTGGAAAACATCTACCAGACTACACAGCGCAACAGCCCAGAAGACAGAAATCTTCATACTCACCGCTGTGAAAACCTCAAATCATACATGAGCAGACTAGTTCAGAAATATTATTGCCATCATTCAATTTGAATTTTTTTCTCAGAATATTTATGCCTCCAGATCATGACATGTAATAGCGGCCTCCACCTCTGTTAGAGACTGAGGAATACATTTACAGCACTCTGTGCAGAATGCGCTCATGTTTTGTGCCTCTTTAATTGTTATTGGTGCCTTTTTAAATGGCAACGCCTTTGAAGAGTAGTTATAGAAGTGTGAAGAAAACACTCTTACAAAGAACTTAGATTTTTATGTAGTCAAGTATTTTTGGGTGTGTACTAACCAAGAGTGAAATGTATATGTCAAGCTAAAAGTTGATTTGTGTACTTAACCTTCGTCTTACGAGAATAGGGTATTCAAAACTCGATATTATGAGGCTGCCTGCTGGACTTTAGCTTTGGGTTTAGAAGCTTAGCAGTATGCTGTTGTGATGAATTCATGCACTGTGGATTTCATTCTTTGATCTGAATGTGTAATTGAATAAAAAGAATTGAATTGTTTTATTACAAAAGACTGGTACATGGGGCCTATTATTTTGATGGTTCAACTGCTTTGGTGCTATATGTCACAACATTTAGTTACGGTCTATATGTAGTGTATGTGAACTTACTGTTTGCCTTTAATCTGTCGGCTTCGGCTCCTTCGTGAGTTGAGCGTAGGAAGGAGTTAAGAAGAAATAAAATGTGAGGGTCATTGAAATGAAACCTGTCCATTGCGCTGCTAGCAAATTCATCCAGTCACAGGTGATGATGTGACTGTGTGAGTGACTGACCGCCATTCAACCATGAGCTGTGCGACAGAATGAGTTTGGAACAGATGGATGGGAACAGTACGATGTGGTTAAATACCTGCACATGGATTGCGGATCCTGTCCGTACAGAACCAATGAATAAGCTGTCATTCAGCTCCTTGATGCCAAATTGTTGGCCATTAACACACTGTGTTATTGTGAAAGGAACACTGTGACCTTTATACCAGCATCAAGAGAAGACATGCCGATGTGCTCATGAGAGGCGACTTCATGTTGTATGATAATGCGTCACCATGTGACCTGCTTTGTCGAGGGCATGCTGCATCCCATCAGCCAGAAAGTTTTGGACCATCCTATACAGTCTGGACCTGTTACTATGTGAATCCATCTGTTTGGTTTGCTGAAGGAACGCTGTAAGTTCATAGACTGGCAACAAATGAAGAGTAATATTTGTGGTTTTCACAGTGGTAAGTCTGAAGATGGCTGTCTTTCGGTTGTTGCACCACATAGTCTGGTAGAAGTTTAACGATGTTTCAGAAGTCATACTGCCTCCCTGATGATGGAGGCAGCAAGGAATTCAGACGTCAGTAAATTTCTACCAGACTACACGGCGCAACAACTCAGAAGACGGACGTCTTCAACAAATGAAGACTTCAAGGATGCAATGGTTCCAACAGCAGTCACTGCTGGTGGAATTCTTGAAGGAGAGGATCCGTCAGATGGTGTGTCAGTAGGTTGCTGCCTCAGTGCCTGTGTTGATTTGTGTCACAGTCTCTTTCTTTACCCGGAATAATCTCTGAACAGGTTTCATTTGAATAAGCCTCTTATAGAAGTATAGAATTTATTTCTTATTCATTGAACCTTAATGACTACATTAATGGGTGAGGTCATTCTCATCGTTAAGTTTTTGCAGATACAAGTCTGTTTCTGCATAGTCAGAAAATATTTTTCTTAAATATCTACCACATCAAGAAATGTTTAAATAAAAGTAGTTTGTTTTAATTAAATATAAATATATTGTATCATGTACATGGCAAGTACCAACTTTTGTATGATAAATATTTTTCTTTTAGATAATCAGTGGACTTTGAGGTGCACATAAAATATAGATTATATGTGCCAATATTAACGAGGAATATATTTATCCAACAATTTCTTATGTACATTCCCAATAGAAAATTGTATTTAAATATATCAGAGGTGAACAAGGCCAAATGAAATTGAAAAGCATAGTTCTTTGAGTAAAAGATAATGAAGATGGTGATATTTGCTGAGTTAAATTTTTCTCTCATATTATTTATGAATATTTTGGTGTGTTTCTGGATCTCAGAATATACATGTGGTCCATATGAGTGATAGGTACCGACAGCATTGTAATGCAAAGATTTGGAAAGAAATTTGTTGAAATACTCACTGAATTTAATATGGAATCTATGTTTTCTTAGATTAAAATTTAGCATTAAATTCATGTACAGAATATAATTGGATTGCATGATGTTGCTTAGGCTATGTGAAACAATCATTTGGGTCTTTTAACAGAATAAAGGAAGATGCTTAATCTATGTGGCATAAAACATATCAGAACAATGCTAGGTGCCATTTTAAATTTAGATTGCTCATCTAGTCGTATGTTTTATAAGGACTCTGATACCATCATATTAAATGGTAAAAGTCCTATTGTATTTTGAAAAGTGCAGTGATGTGAATCATTCATATCGAACTGAAACTGTCTGTAAATGTTATTACATGTAAATATCAATTATATGATTGTGAGTACAATTGTGTTTAACTGAAGATCAAGATTTAACAATTATTTGAACATAAACAGAGAGGGACATAAAATGCAGCAGAGTGCGGATAGTAACGTCCTAAATCATGGGACCCCACTTTCAATAGCATGCGTCTTTAACTTTCGGCTTGGCATTGCCAACACATTTTGGTCAGATGATAAGAATCAGTGTGAAGATTTCTGTCTTCTGGGTTGTTGCGCTGTGTAGTCTGGTCGATGTTTACCAACGTTTCAGAGGTCATACTGCCTCCGTCATCAGGGCAGTGAGTGTGAAGATTTCTGTCTTCTGGGTTGTTGTGCTGCGTAGGCTGGTCGATGTTTACCAACGTTTCAGAGGTCATACTGCCTCCGTCATCAGGGCAGTGAGTGTGAAGATTTCTGTCTTCTGGGTTGTTGTGCTGCGTAGTCTGGTCGATGTTTACCAACGTTTCAGAAGTCATTCTGCCTCCCTGATGACGGAGGCAGTATGACCTCTGAAACGTTGGTTAACATTGACCAGACTACGCAGCGCAACAACCCAGAAGACAGAAAGCTTCACACTCACTGCTGTGAAAACCTCAAATCATACGAGGATCAGTGTGCTTTCATCTGGATCAGTAAATTGAGAGAACTGATTATTTTCTGAGATGGTTTCTTCCTACAGCAATTATATCACAGAACATAACTTGTTTACAGTTACCAGTTACGTGATGACAACAGATTTGCAGATATACCTTGAGAAGTCCTTCCTTCATTATGTCTTTCAAAGGATTATTTACGTAAATTTAAGACAAGTGTGAAGTTAGTGGATTTAAATCCAGCCCTTATTTTGTTGACAACCTGCAAACCTTGCAGCTTACAGAGGGATTAAAGAATGTTTAATTATGCCCCACACCATGGAGGAGTGGTGACACGGCTCCACACATTCAGCTTTATTCCTGTGAGGAGAACTCTGTTCACACACGTGTTACAGTGACCCTTGTAGCGTGTCACTGTTGCATGGAATTGGCGCGTACAACATTTTGCTTTGATGATTGGTGTTTAAATAAAATTCTGGCCATCTATGAGGAAAGGCTTTGTTAAGGACTAAATTGTGTGGTCCTGTGAATTAGGGTGTTCTAGATTCTGATGCCGTGTAGTCTTATGGGCGGTTACAAGCACGTACTGCCTTCGTTTGCAGGATACGTTGGTAACTACCCACAAGGCTACAAGCCAGTAGGCCACATGTAGGATTTGAGGTTTTCATGGTGATGAGTCTGAAAATCCCTGTCTTCTGGGTTGTTGCGTGATGTAGTCTGGTAGATGTCCACTTACATCTACCAGACTACACGGCGCAACAGCCCAGAAGACCACAATCCACAAAGGTGATAACTGACCAGTAAGAAATGAAAATGAAGTTTTCTCGACAACTTTCTGAATAGATGCCTCAGTAGTGAAGTTAATTTAAATATGTTATGAACTTTCCTGAGTGGAAATGTAAATTACTGTCCCATTATGCGTTTATTCTTTAATTTCACTTGTTTCGCAACCTGTCTGCTTTGCCCTCTACATCTTGTATGCATTGATTTTAATTTGGAAATGTTTATGAGTATGATGTATTTATGGATTTGAATATATGTTTACAATATAAGTGAATGTACAATAATATTAAAAACAGTTTGTTAAAACTTCGTGTAATATTTTATATTTCAAAGCAAATGTGGATTTTTTATAGAAGTGTGCAAGAAATGACTACCATAATCCAAGTACTGTAAAGTGTGAAAAGTTATTTATTATAGTCATTTGTACAAAGACTTTTATAGTGATTACAGGACTTGATCCTGAGTGGGTTCTGTATATGTCAAGTAATAAAACTAGAAGTTTTGTAGATATTTTGTGGAATATTCATTCATCATGACCTTCCCGTCCTTTTGGCCATATGAGTTAATATTATTTTGTTAGACCTGTGTGTATGTATCACACGAACAGAACTCAAGAAGCTTAAAGGAGGGCAAAGCATTTATGTTAACAATGTTAGCTCGCCTAAAATTTACGAAACGATAAATAATATTCTGTCTTCTGTGGTTCAGAGGTACACGATGCACTGAAACGGTAGAACAGATCAGATCAAACGAATTGTTAACCACCTTCAGACAGCCAGGTGCTCGTCACAAACAAGCTTCAAATAGCTGGCTAACAAATCTTCGGGGTTTGAAACCGAAAGGGTTGGAGTTGGTTTGACTGGAG